ACAGTGACTTGGAAACAGAAGGAAGTGAGGCAATGGCAGTGCGATCACTGAAATTAAGTTCTTGCGTAACAGTACCAACATTGTGGCATGGCTTTCTTTATAATCTCCTCTTCTTTGACCAGCCTTATGCTGCTGGCTTGGCCACCAGGCTTGCATAATCATATGCAAATGCAGTATGCTATGGTAAAGTCAGATGAACTGAGTATTCCAGGTCAAAGTTTTCTGTTTGCACTAGTTGTAAGTTTAATACAAATTTACTGTACTTGCATGTGCTGTTAGGCTTTTATTAACTTTTATTCCATACTTGCATTACACTTAAATGCTACCTAAAAATGAGTGTTAAAGTATGGGAAGGAACATTTGAGAAGGAGGCAGAGAACAAAACTTTAAAGCCATTATATACGTTACTCTAGTAAGCTTGAGGAAGTGACCTTTAGCAATGTGGATGGTATAAGTGAATGAGACACCTTTCCAACAAACACCTAAATATCTGCTGCAGATTGCATCAAGTTAAGACAAAAAATTAGTCATTTAAAGTGCTTCAGTTAAAAAACAAAAACCCCCAAAAAACCTAAATTGCGTTGATTAAAGATATTTTTCCTGATACGTTTGAGTAGGGCTTATTTTTAACAAGTATCTTTCTTTGAACAGCTGTTCCTAGTCAAAGGCTGAATATAATACTGTTTTTGTTTAGGTTGATAGTTTCAAAATAATATCTGCAGAGCTGTATTTTCAGATGTGGCAACACAGGATACTACCAAACATGCATTTCTTGTCGGACACAAAAGCGATGGAGACCATTATTCCCATTAGCATTTTGGTTTTTAAAGGCAAAAATCAGTATTTATTCAGTGAAATATATAACACTTTAAAAACTCTGCTTTTTTTTCCTATCTATTTTTATTGTTTTAAAAAGGCAGTTTTATTTTTGTTGACAGTTCAGGTTGTGGTATGGTTTTTTGTTGTGTTTTTCCAAGTGGGCTAACCTGAAACTGGAGAGAAGAGGACTTTGAAAATGAAACTTAGATTTTGGTTGGTGAGAAGATGAAAATCAAAAATACAGAGAAATAAAATACAACTATAAAGAAAACATTTTTTAACTTACTAACCAACTAAAGAATAAAAATGATTTGTTTTACAATATGCTTCAGCTTTTTTACATGTGTCTCACTTTCATCTTTTGATGAGTAACGATAGTAAACAGCTATCTTTATGCTGGCCAGGAGCATCAGCTTACTGATGGAGCCGGGGGGGCGGGAAGCTTTCATCCGTGATTCCATCCAGCAAGGAAGTCACATTGTTTATTTAAAGGACTCTAAATATTTCAGAAAAGTTACCCTCTGTTAAACACTTCCATCTAATACTGCTTGGCAAAGAGATTTTAGAAGTTAAATGGCCTTCTTTCCCACCATTTTCTTTTACTTTCCCTGCTCGCTAAGGCTGCTCATACAAAATTCATTAGCCTGGACTGACTCTTGAAATTCCATCTGTCTCTTTTCTGTGTAAATTGTATGCTCTGTCATGCTGATCTGGTCTGAGCTAGTTGCTGGAGTTGCCAGTTGTAGTTCCTCAGCAATTCATTTTTGATCCTCTTCATTTTTAAAAGGTAGTTTCCTGGATCATAATTGTTGTCTGTTTTAAGCTGCATTAATAACAAGACTTAACAAACTGGTTAAATAGTCCTTGCTTCTTGCAGTAGAAACATATTATTAGAAATTGATTTAGTCTTCTTTTGCAAAACATTTAATAATTCCTTGTTCTGTATAAACCATGTGGTATTTATTGTCCAGTATACTGGATTGCTGAAGGGCTTAATATTTCACCTGTTGACAAGAACCTCCACACACACACACTATTCTGTAGTTACCATTTTTACTGGTTGTTCTGTGGACTGTTGTTTTGCATCACATCCTGAAGTTATTGCACTGGCTTTATTAATTCAATAATATCCATTCATCTGTTTTCTGAAGGCTTGCAGGATCATAACATATGCTTTATGCATAATTTCATTTTTTTGCATTTAATTTTGAGAAAAAATCTGTGCTAAACTTTGTTCTTACTCTGTTGAGTAAGTGGTGCATGTGGTGCAACAATTTAATACTACCTCCATTTGCTTTTTCTTTAGCTTAGAGTAGTTTGGAGTTTCTCCTAAGGAACAGCAACAGTTGGTGAAGAATGTGTATCATTTATTGATACCTTTCATGAGCTTGTTCTCTGTGATTTATTTTTTTTACTCCCCTTTCCTGTCTCTACAAACATGGTATCAGTCTGTAAAACATAACACAGCTATTACAGGGGACCTTCAAGAGCATGGTGAAGCAACATTAGTCTAAGTCCCTTCAGCTGGAGGTAAAGAGCATGGCTAAAACCAACCATCTGGCTCTGGCAGTATGTGCAGCAGCTTGCACTGGAAGAACCTACAAGTGGCATACATCTCAAAGTCTATGGCCTGGCTGCCCCAGCTCTAGAAAAAGAAATGTGGCACCTTTGTGGATACGCTTACATAGCTGAATTTTAGCGTGGTTTTTTCTTTTCAACTAAATATTTCACTTGTTCTAGTTGCAGATTAGAAATAATTATTTCCAGAAAACTTTGCTCTACAAGTACATAATTGCATCAGCATACTTCAATGACAGAGAAACAAGATTGGATTTCCAAGAGCACATACTATATGTGAGTTTTTCTTTTCAGACTGCAAGGGGAAAGATGTAGACCTTATTCTTCCCCTTCACAAACAGAGACAGTTGAAATAATTAAAAATGTGTGCTGGCTTCACAATGTGCTCCACATGTGCTGGGTCACTTTACTTGCTCCTGATGTTTGGTAGACAAACATTGTATCTTTTAAGTGCATTGTATATAGTAAGTAATTGCAGCACAGAGAAGGGGAGGTGTCAAAACTAGCTTCTATCTCTATCCAATATGTTTGACTTTGACAGAGTTGGTATCACTGAGTCTTATTGCCATCTTTCCATTCTGCCATCTGCTTATTGCAATTATGAGCATTTTATCAAGGAGGCAGATCTTTGTGGTCCTTAACAAATGGTACTTACCTGCAGGCTTGGCATCTAGAAAAAAGAAGAATCTCTTCTTAAAAAAAATAGAATCAGTAGTTGGATGGACAGAAATCTATTGCTCATCCTAAAAAAAGGCATCTTCTCAAACCAGTTCATATTCTAGTTGAGAAGATAAGTAACAGTGGAAATACCAATTTACAGAGAACCAGTTCTTTTGCTGAGAGCAACTTACAGTGGTGGTTTCAAAATAATGTAGACTTTTTACAAAGCATAGGAGTGTCAAGGAAAAGCCCTCTTCATCTTTCTCTGTCTTCTTTAAATATTGAGTAATTAAAGTTGATATTTTTGAGTAACTTAAATTTCTCTCCTCAGAAAGACAGTAAGTAATACATTTAACAGAAAAAATAACAAATGATCAGGAAAAAAAACCAAGCAAAAGGTGTCATTGGGTATAGTAAGAGCACATGGCGAGAGGTCATTTCAACAACAAATGATTTACAGTGCATGTATTAGCCTGGTGTGATGTCATATATGTCTGTTTTTCATTTATCCCATGCTTATCTTTGAGTGATATCTGACACCTTTGTGAAAGAGTCAATAATCGGAAAGTCTTTATATTCGCAAAATGTGGAGGTTTTGATGTTCTTACCCTTGAAGAACTATCCCAAGCATATTAATGTATACTTTGAGGTAATACAATGATTTATAGTGGTTAACCTAGTATTTCTATTCATTATTCCTTTTTTCTGTGTTTTAGACAGTTTTCTAAATATTTAGCTGGATTGGGTCAGATTAATTTATATGCAGAGTCTGCTTTATAATGAGGATCGATAAAATCTTAATGAAGTGAACCGTATTCTGGAAGCACTTCTGTTGTGTATTGGTTAAGTGAATCCTTTCGGTAATTGTTCTTTTCAGTTATTTTCCTTTCTCTTTAAATATGTGAAGCAGCAGCAAAGCAAAGCATATGCCATCTTGTTCCTCTTCTCCTTGTTTTGATTCTGTAGTAAATCTTTAATTATAAATTGTCTTGAATTGGCATCACTCCGTTGTCGTTCTCTTTGAGAAGCAAGAAGGTAAGGCAGCTGTGATCTGAAGAAATACTCTTTTTAAACTGAAGAACTGTTTTTTTCAGTATTATAATTGATGCTGAGAATTACTCACAAGTTTACACCACTACACAGCAATGAACCTAATAGTAGTCATCTAATGCCCTATAAACATGGAAACGGCCTAAAAATGCAGTCGAAACGTTTTAAATATCTATTTGTAGGTAATGGTATCTACATTCACAGATACTGTGAATCTCTGAAATAATTTTCTTTTATACAAGTCTTCTAAATAATGTTTCTCTATCTTTTTTTACCAGATAAGGAGACAAAGCATGTTGAAGCCATATGGCAGCTTGAGTAACTCACATTAAAAGTCTTGGGAAGGAACAGCTGAACACATACATGCTGAGTTTTGGACCTCTGCTTGTGGAGCTGGCCAGTCATTCCTCTCACCAGCTAGCAGTGCTGTTCCCTTGGGCTTCTGATGTTTATGGCACCAGCTTCTGATGCTGCTGTAGCTTTCGAGCGTGTCGAATTTCTTGGTTTTAGGGCTGTTCTTTGCACTGCAGCACAGAAATGGAAGTTCTGCAGTTTCAGGCTGAAGTACTAGGCTGGAGCTTGCTGACTTGAAGGCTTTTCTGCTCTGATTTTCCTTTGTACTGTTTTTGGCCAGTGATGGGTAATCGTTTGGCGGTGAACTCCTGCCTCCTTCCCTCCTGCTTGTAGTTATTCTTCAAAGTTGATTGCTTTTTGTTACCAAGGCACACACTCATGTTTCAAACAGAAGCAAATTAATTTTAAAAGCTGTGTTCTGAGAAGAGCCTTTGTGTTGCTTTCAAGTTCTCAAGGCTTTTTTGACTCAAAAAGTGCACGAAGTCATCTCTTCCTCCCTCCCTTTCCTTCGGGCACATATTGCTGTCTTGTAGTTATTCTTCAAAGTTGATTGCTTTTTGTTACCAAGGCACACACTCATGTTTCAAACAGAAGCAAATTAATTTTAAAAGCTGTGTTCTGAGAAGAGCCTTTGTGTTGCTTTCAAGTTCTCAAGGCTTTTTTGACTCAAAAAGTGCACGAAGTCATCTCTTCCTCCCTCCCTTTCCTTCGGGCACATATTGCTGTGGCAAGTGATTGTTGATTTTTTTTTTTTTCGTTGCTGCTGTTTATATGTGACTAGAAACATGATTCATTTCTAACTGTGCTGTATGACTATTTTATTTATACTTTTCTAGCAGTTATTTGTACTTTTTCTAGCATTTCAGCTCTGTAACAGAACGGGTTGAGTCTTTCTAGAAGATTACTGGAAAGATTTCTGAACTGCAGGGTAAAAATTAGGAATTAAAAGAACAGGAAGAGTTAAAAATTTAGGTTTCTTAGCTAAAAGCACAGGGTAGCCAAAAGTTTTAATGCAAAATTTTTCTGTGCTGCGCCTCCAGTAACCATGGTTCCTGATGGTGCAGGGACTATAATTTCTACTTAAGGAATTGTCATGAATATCTTTAACTCAGTGGCTGAAACCTCACCATATTTATTGTCTCACTGCTAGATATGGTGCTAAAGTAGGAAACAACAACTACTTCTGCTATTCTGAAAGTTTTCATTGACTCCATAAATATATTTCAAAATCAATTAAATATAATAGGCAACATTCTTGAGTTTTATATGGATGGGTTTTTTTTCAGTGAAAACTTTTGGTGTTTGGTTTGCTTTGGTATTTTAATTCTTTATTTAGCTTTTGCTGTGTTACTTGTGTTGTTAAATTCAAAATGCTTAAAAGCTGACTGGATGAAGTGTATCTGTAAAAGTGATGCTACACAGAACTAGTAATGAAGAATCCTAAGTGGACCACAATTATGAGAACTGAAAAAGGACATTTAAGACTAAAGGAACATTAGTAGTAGTCTTTCCATAATGGAAGTTTGTCAATGGCAAATAAAATCCTCTTCAGCAAAACTATAGGGATTTTGTTTACCCCTAGCTTATTAGCATAGGGTGGGAGCAGCAGGTTGATTTGAGACTAAGCAGGGAAGCAGAGGTGGGAACATTACTTAAACCGCTCCTTCGCAGACCCTGAACAGAAACAAGGTAGGCTTAAATTTTGCATGAAGCTAGATTATTTTCCTCTGCAAGTGAGATTTGCACACAGCTTCCGCTCTTATTTTAAGACAAATGAATAGAGCTTGATCTTGATGGGATTTTTGGGGGTGTCTAATTGCAGGAGTTTGAATAAAGTATTGAAAGAGAGGGAGCATTTTCCTTCCCTTGCTTGTTGCATCTTTGCTGCTCAGCCTGTGACCTCATAAGCCTCAGAATGGCAGCAAGTAGCAGCTTTAAAAGTTTGCAAATTGATAATAGCATGTTTTAAGTCACTCATTTGTGAAAAATTATTGAGCTTTTGAATGTGGTTTAAGGTCACTTATAATGAAATTCGGAATTGTGTTTCTGCTTGACACTTGCGTACCAACTTTCCTTTCTTCTTTGAATCTCATTGCCTTTAAACATTACAAAGCTATGCTGAATTTTTTGTGAACTGTATTGGCTAGAGAGTCATTAGCTACTGTTTAGAGCAAAAGTGAGGCTGACAATGAAGGAAGCATGGATTTGGAAACAAATGTGACCTTTCTATTTTGTGAAGTAGCTGTGTCACCGAGATGGTATAGATGATGCTGAAAACAAAGAAATTAAAAGAATTAAGCCTTCTCTGCATCCATTGGTGTGTACTTGCTGTGGTATTGACCTTGTCTTTCCATGTTAGAGATGGTAATGGCTTGTGGCAGACAGCTGTATCTGTATACAGCAAACTGTATATTTGTAATAGTTGTGAGGGAAGAAAGGTCAGGGCAAAATAGTCTGTTTCCAGAAGAAATAAAAAACCAAATAAATACCATAGAATTCAGAATATTGGTTATTCTTAAGATACTTATAAGAATCTTATTCTGTATTCATTAAATGCTAGTATACTGTTTCCTTTGTTAGAAATACATTAGAATAAAATTGCGTGAGTTTGGTTTATTGTGAGTAAGGTGATGGGTGTTTTTGGTGGGGGAGGATTGCTGATGACCTATAAAGACAACTGTTGAACAGCCAGGATGACATTCTTTGAATCTAAAGCAAGCTGTCTTCACATCTGGAAGAGGAAAACATTGCAGTACCTTTAGTAGATCAGGTCTGGTCCGTGGTCATGCCTGACTGAGGTAGTAGCTGTTAGACACATTTTTAAGAAGCTTTGTTTACTGAGATTATTGTCAATAGAAAAAATGCACAGCTGAATAGGGGAGAATTTGCTGTGGATGTGCTAATGGATGTAGATGGCCTCAGAGGCGCAGGGCTATAAGGAATCAAATGGACTAAAAGGATAAAAAAAATGGACTGGAAAGATGCTTCTTTTTTGTGTACAATACTGTTCAAGAACATTTTTAATGTTTAAGAACATCAGGAGTATATTTATGGTATCTTTTGTTAAAAAACACCCAAGATAATTTTAAAAGACAGATGTTGGTGATAGTTTGTTATGCGACACCCTGCAGAGCATAAGACAAGGCTGAATAGAGAAATAGTGGTCTTGACTTCTGGGTGATACAAAATCTCGTGTCTGCGATCCCCTCTCAGCTCCTCATGTTGCATAAAGACTGTATTTCTGACCAAGCTCTGTTTTATTTTTAGGAGGACAGCATTGTGTTTAAAATGGAAGTTGACATAAATGGAGAGTCCAGAAGTACCCTATCCACCCTCCCTGTGCCTCTTGCAGAGGTGAGTCCTGCGGGCAGGATGGAAGCAGAGAAGCCCCGCTGTTCCAGTACACCCTGCTCACCAATGCGACGGACAGTTGCGGGATATCAGATCCTTCACATGGATTCTAACTACCTGGTTGGCTTCACGACTGGAGAGGAGCTGCTAAAATTAGCCCAGAAGTGTACAGGAAATGAAGAGAATAAAGGGGAATTTGGGCCAAACTTGCGCACCAAACAGCTTGATTCAGGACTTGCACGTTCCTCCCGTTTGTACAAAACTAGAAGTAGGTACTATCAGCCATATGAGATCCCAGCAGTAAATGGAAGGAGGAGGAGACGGATGCCCAGCTCAGGGGATAAATGCACTAAGGCTTTACCATATGAACCTTACAAGGCACTTCATGGTCCCCTGCCTCTTTGCCTTTTAAAAGGTAAAAGGGCTCATTCGAAATCCCTGGACTACCTCAATTTAGACAAAATGAGCATTAAGGAACCTGCTGACACAGAAGTGCTACAATACCAGCTCCAACACCTTACCCTTAGAGGGGACCGTATGTTTGCAAGAAATAACACATGAGTTATCATCTCGAATTTAGAACCAATTTCTGATTATTTCTCTGTTGCTGCAAAAATCCACTGTTGTACTGTGTACATGACTGTCCACATTGTAGGTGGTTTTATCAGTTAAATGTTATCTGAAAGTAATTTATTTGAATAGAATCTTGGCAATGCAATGTATTGCAAATACTCGGAGGGAGAAATCTTTCCTGAGCAAGCAGCTTCTGATGCAAATTGATGGATATGTCTTTGGACACCTTTTAACAAAAAAAAGCTTTTGATTTTTCAGTTTGGGATTTCTTTTTGTACAGTTAGATCTAGTATTTACAGTAATTTAACACTGAAAAAATTGCAGATGTTTGCTTGGTTGTTGCTAATTTTGGCTTGATGTTAGAAACTGCTCTTGGTTAAGTACTCAAGTTGAGAAGGTTTTTTGGTTTTACTTTTTGTTCCTGTCTTCTACAGTAAAATGTATGGGGTTTCTTTTTTTTTTTTTTAACATCATGGGACGGAAAGTGAGCTTGGCTAAATTGGATCACTTGCTATTTATACAATCCAGTTTAAACATTTGCAAACTGCACTTGCACTGGTGATGAGGGTGAGATTCACTCATAAAACAAACCTTTGCTACTTGAATCCTATTAAATTATTTTTTAATTTCTGCATGGAAGTAATTGCTTTGCCTCCTCTGTTCTATAAAACTTGTTCAGGATAAGTATTTGGGTTATTAAAAATAAAAAAAATCTTCACTCCAAAAAGATTTTTCTTAGTGGGATTTATTTTTTACATTGTCTTGACACACAAACAAGGATTCACTTCAGATTCCAGTAGATACACTGGAATGTCTACATTGGTATGTCAATAATGTTTTTGATTTTAATTCATGATTTCTGTATCATGTATAGTGATAGTATGCATAGTAACGGAAGGTGTCAAATAACTTCAGCATTGCTTTGGAAATTCAGTTGATTTGAAGCACTGAACACTTGAGATCTGGAAGGCTGATTTTTTTGATGGAGTGCAAGTCAAGTAATTCTGTATCAGCATTGAAGAGAAGATCCTGGATTATTCAACAGATTGAATACACTGGCTTACTTTGTTACTTAAGAATTTTTTATTCAAACTTGACATCAGGTGCAGTTTTGAGAGCTGTATTCCTAGATGTATTTAAAACATTTTAGTAACTTATGTTTAAAAATGAAAAATAGTTTTCAGAATTTTTTTAGGTGCAATCTTTTACTGAAGCAGTGTGCTACTTGGTTTTGGCTGATGACCTCTGCAGAAGAATTTAAAAAATAAGATCACATTGTTTTGAAATATAAATTGTTTGATCAGTTGTTTCTGTAGGATTAAGATTTTTTTGTTTGTTTATCATTCAGAATGAATAGAAAGCACTAGTTAGTGCATGTGCTGTGGAAAATGAAGAGTTCTTCTCATTCCGTCACTTACTCCACAGTTGTAAATGAAGGCAGCCCAGTAGTCTGTATTTTTGCTGGTTTGGTTACTTTAAACCTTTTTTTAGGTTTATTAGAATCTTTGCAACAAACCGATGTGTATTTTTAAAAGTTAACTACACCTGTGTAGATTTAATGTATTGAACAATGATCTTAAAAGTAAAATCTTCCTATATAGTCTTTAGTTTGAAAAACAGAATATTGTCAGAAGCCAAAGAGATGGGGGGGTTGTTTAAGGAATAAACACCACTGTTTATTGAAATACCCTATGAAACTGTATTTCTGGCTGAAAAATAAAAAAGGTGGTATAAACACCTATTGTTGTGGAGTCTTTTACTGTGCAGGAGAAAGAGGACATTTGAAAAATACAACTTCAGAGCAGGGATCATTTAAAAACAACTTTAAAGTGGGGATCTTGGACTTCTGTGAAATAGATGCTTAGGTGTGTTACTATGTTTCAGGAAATGGGCCATGCAATTATTAATATTTTGTGCATGTTTCTAATGTCATCCTGTGCCATAATTGTATAGCTACACTAATAGGTTGTTGCCTATAGTTGATGGCTAAGTTCATAAAAATGTGTTGGCTAAGTTCATAAAAATGTGTTAGTACTTTATCTGTTTGGTGATTTGCTTGTGAAGGTGCTTACATATGGTAATATTGTTCGCTTAACTCGTACACACTTGCAGCTCCCATGGCATATCCTCATTCAGGAGCCCAAAGTTTTACAAGTTTGGTTTGTAAGGTTCTTTATCAGAACTCTTATATCCACGAGGAGTTCCTGGCTTTACCTCTAAATTAAGCAAAATCTCAGCCAAATGAAAGCTTTTGATCTTGTCTTATTTTTGCTGCTTATAACGTCTTCCAATAAAATAATCTATTAAAATCAAAGATGAGATGGTTCTTCAGACTACTAAAATGAAATTGAATATGAACAACACTGACCATTCAAAGTGAGTTCTCACTGTTCTTGTAATAAATTACAAGAGAAAAAAAAAAAAAGGCATCAAAAAAATGTTTCCTTGTCGGCTTTAGGTATCTTCCAGAGGATTGAAAGAGTGAAGGTAGAAATGATACAGCGTGGTAACACAGATCATCCATTTAACAGACCATTAACACCAAAGCAGATCTGGAATCGAGTACAAATGTGTAAGCTGGGATATTGAGGCAGATCTTAAATTCAGGCACACTGCTGGCATTTTTTTTAAAAAGATACCAAAAGAGGATTGGTGAAATCTATTCCTTATTTAAGTGTTTTCTTCATTTCGGGTATAAACTTGTAACTACTCCTGTCCTGCTGTGTTATGGTTTGTATTTAGTTTTTACACAGTACCTAACTGACCTTACAGCTTCCTTTACCTTCTCTTTGTCCATCCATTGTGTTCTGACTTATACTCAGCTTTCTTGGGTGATCGTCTCTCTTGCTGAGCATGTTTACTGTAGTGGCATTGTTAATTGCAGACTAGGGCTACTAGATAATACTGCAAAATAAGTAACAGGCAAGCTTTTAGAACTTTCTAAAACTGCTCTCCTGGATGTGTTTTTTCTGCTGGAAAGAACAGGACTGGAGAAAAGTTATTTTTAAACTGCTGAAAAAGCAGATGTCTGGACATGGAGAAAGGTTCTCAGTAGTTCAGGGCTTGGAGCACAAATAATTTCATTATTTTGTGGGCAAATAAGAGAAGGACAAGTGTAATTTTTAAGAAGAATTACAAGAGAAGAGCAGAAAGGCTCTTAAGCTGCATAAAAAACCTTCCGAAATCTATGATACCTGCAGAAATATCAGCTGATTAGTTTCAGTAAAGCTAGGTGGTGTCAGGCTGTATAATTTGCTTTTGAAGAAATGAAAAAGCTATCCACAACACAAAACTGGTCTGAAAAAAATCTAAGTGGGTTTCAAAGCATGCTTTCATTTGGTAAAACACAGGATTCAGTTAAAAGTGTTAAGATCAATACTAAGCTAATGTCAAGTTTTGTGAATCAAATGAGTGTTTGTAGTAGTAGGAAGGGAAATACTGCCTATAATATAGACTAAGCAAAGAATTGTTAATAGATAACTTAACTGTTGTTTCTAACTCTTTCAATGGTACCAAAGAATCTGAAACAGAAATTATCCAGCATAATCAGATTTTGATGTTCTGGATGTTTGGGAGGGTGGGCTGGCTGAAGTCAGTTATTAATGTTAAACTTCATCTTAAAGAGGAATGTGTGCTAAAAAGAAACAGTAGAAAAAAATGATCTTCAGTGAGAATATAAGCAGAAAAAACTAGAAAAAAATTCTTTGAGGAAGACATCTTAAAGTGGAGATACATTACAGAAATGTAACTAAGTCGTTAAGCTGTTGTAGGAAAAATGCAGATCTAAAATTGCAAAATGTAGATTTATTAAAATGCTAATAACTTTAAAGACAGTGTAAAGCTTGGCAGCCAACAGTAAAAGCGCATATTGCTTTGCATGTTGTCTGAGCATTTGGCAAATACAGTTCTATTGATGATTCTAGGGACTGACTATTTGCATGAGTGGTTTTCAGTGATTTGATCTGTTAATTCGAACATCAGTGTCCATGATGGGTGATTACACAGAAGGAGTGGCAAAAACATGTGTCTGATAGATGGATCCTCAGAAGAATACACTTAATAATGTTTGGATTATTGATTTTTCTTTTTTTGTCTGTATCACACCACATTTTTTAGTTGGAGGTTAATTCCAACTTTCCAAGTCCTCGAGAACCTTCAGACAGATTACAGGTTTTTTTGCCCCAGTGATTTTGCTAGTGGAATTTTTTTTCCCCTCTTTATTCCATCATAAAAGCACTTGGGGAAGATCGAGCTGTATCTTCAGGTCTATAGAATATGGAAAAATTCCTTTTTTGGAAGGAGCAAGGGGGATCCCTAGTTGTCTGCAGTACTTGCTTCTGATCTTGTAAAAGCTAGGTATCATTGTTAAATATATGATACTTAAGCACAGCATTCTTTCTGTGAGCTACTTTTGTAGGCGTTTTCTTCTGACTCTTAACTGTGGATGCAGCTTGGGAGAGTGTAGGCTGTTACGAGATGCTGATAACTGACCTACAAAGCATCAGAGATTCACTAAAAAAAAAAAAAGTCTCTCGTGTGTCTCAGGGATCATGATCAAGCAATTCTTCGACCTTTTTTCCTTGCATCAGAGTGATGACTTTCATCAGTCAACAACCACTTTACTTTCCTCCTCTGGAATGCAAAGATCATTCTTAATGACGCTAGTCCCTCAGAAGTTGCCTTCAGTTGCTGCATTTGGCTGCTTCTGGATGGCAGTAGTTAAGATTCAGTGCTGCTGCTCCAGTAGTGTAAGTTCTAAACCTAATCCTGGTGCATTTTTGTGGGATGGCTCAAGGGAGGGAATGTTACTGTCATGTTTCAGTACCCAGTCTGTCTTACATTCTCCTTAACTTACTCTTAGCTTCAGTAGGTTGGTGGTAGAGAATGACCTCGAGGCAAACCTACAGAGGAACTATCTAGGTCATGTTAGAAGAGCTGAGGAAAGAAGACAGTCTGTGGGGAAAAATCCAGAATCAGCTGACTTGCACTGAAAACAAAAGGGAAGGTAAGGATATTACTGACCACATTCTTTCTATTTTTAGGACACGGCTGTCTAAACTTGCATATGCTTGATCTTACCTATCAAAGAATTGGTCTGGAGTGAAAAGATGGGGATGACAAAAAAGGAGAGCTTTGCACAGTGCTTTTATTTCTGTGAAGAGTGGGAGGGCAGAAAATTCACCAGAATATATCGGGAAAGGCTGGAAAAATAAATGGAAAACCTCAGAGGGGCAGTGCTGCAAGAGGAGGAAGAGTGAAATAGTGTATGGTTTCAGTGTCAAAACAAGCAAAGACATGGAAGGAGGTGGTGTGCTGGTCTCAAATCTCTCTAGAAAGCAATTGTCCGTATTTCTGGATGATTAGGGAGGGTGATGGGACATTTTAGCAAAATGCTGTGATCGGAGCTGGGCTCCAGTGAAGGTAGAAAGGAGCTTGAGGCTGTGTGTGTACGCTTTCATACTCCTAAGCTTAGATGAAAATTTAGAAGAGAGTTCTGAGGGAATAAAATAATAATCTTAATATTATGCCATTCGAATATGGTCTGAATTAAAATCCTGTGGTGTTTCTGTGGTTTTCTGCAGCTCTACACAGTGACAATAGGTAGATGGTGCAATTTCATAGTTCTTTGACAAAGCAAAGTGTAAGAAGCTGCCTGAGCAAGAAGAAAACTTTCATCTGTTATTTCCCTTTGTTACTATTTTCAGTTAAAAAAAAAAAAAGAAAAAAGCTTCAAGCTTCTTTATGTATTCTGGTATAAATACTAACTATGATGTCTGGTAGCATTATTGCCGCAGTTCATTCTGCTAGACTTTTGCCTGCTGAAGCTCCTGATGACCTGTTCTTTCTGTTCTTTCTGTGAAGGTGAAGGAGACACAAGTGCTAAAATATGCAAGAACTTTGAGAACAGCATTAACAGCTTGAACCCTATGAAAAATGGAGCAAGCCATGATTCGCTGTAGTGCTTTACATTAACCTATTTTTCAGAAACAAAAAAATGTTGTAGAAAAGTGTTAGGTACTGAGATGCCTTTAGAAGTCTATTTTAGGCCAGAAATACTGCAGCATAGAGCTTCACGGTGTGAACTATAGTCTGCATATGGATAAAAGTACACAGGGAGAGGCAATGTCGTAGTGCGCTGGAATATCGGGTGACAGAGCACCAACATTTTAAGCTAGATGAATGAGATAGAGTGGGGAAAAGAATGCAGTAAATGTAAGATTCATTTCTTTCTGCCTTAGCTCAATGATTTAATGGGTTTTTTATTTCAATTGGGGCAAACACCTTCTAATTTTTATGAAGGAAAATTGAAAGATATCCAGAATAGCTAATATCTGTCTGTATTAATATTTTCTATAAAAAAAGTTAAGACTGTTCCAATCTGTAAATTCTGTGAGATGCAGTCATGTTTCAGAGGTGATCAAGTGTTTCACAAAAATTAATCTTAACACTTCAGAAGGTTTTTTAGAAGGCTGGATTACTCAGTTCTCATAGAATCATTTAGGTTGGAAAAGACCTTTAAGATCATCAAGTCCAACTGTAAAC